CACGCCCTTCATGGGCGATACTCGAAGCAACACTCGCTCCCCGACCATGAATGCCACATCACGAACCTTACGGTCACCATAGCTCTTTTGCCTGGACTGAGTTGTACGAAGCCTATCCTGAATGATCTTAACCCTGTCCAAGGCATCCTGTACCAAATCTGTACCCAACAATCGAGCCTCCCCCGGCTCAAACCACCCAAATGGCGATCGACACTGTCTATCAGATAATGCCTCATAAGGGGCCATCTGGATGCTCAACTGGTAGCTGTTGTTGTAGGCAAACTCCGCTAAAGGCAAAAACTGATCCCAAGAACCTCCAAAGTCAATAACACAGGCGAGCATATCCTCCAAAATCTGAATAGTACGCTCAGACTGACCGTCCATCTGGGGATGAAATGTTGTGCTCAACTCGACCTGTGTACCCAACTCACGCTGAATTGCCCTCCAAAAATGCGAGGTAAACTGCGTACCCCAATCCGAAATGATAGACACGGGCACACCATGGAGACGAATGATCTCCCGGATATAGATCTCAGCTAACCGCTCTGAAGAATAGGAAACTGCCACAAGAATGAAATGCGCTCACTTAGTCAGCCTATCAACAATAACCCATACTGCATCGAACTTCCTCTGAGTCCGTGGAGTCCAACAACGAATTCCATAGTGACACGCTCCCACTTCCACTCAGGAATCTCAATCTTCTGAAACAAACCACCAGGTCTCTGATGCTCGTACTTTACCTACTGACAATTCAAACACTGGGATACATACGCAACAATATCCTTCTTCATCCTTCTCCACCAGTAATGCTGCCTTAAGTCCTGATACATCTTGGCGGCGCCTGGATGGATAGAATACCAGGAACTATGGGCCTCCTCCAGAATCAACTCACGTAATCCATCTACATTAGGCACACAAACTCGACCCTGCATCCTCAAAACTCCGTCACCTCCAACTGTAACCTGCTTGGCACCACTGTGCTGCACTGTGTCTCTAAGGACAAGCAAATGAGGATCATCATACTGCCGATCCCTGATACGCTCAAATAATGAAGACCGAGCGACTGTACAAGCTAGAACAGGGCTGGGCTCAGAGACATCCAACCTCATGAACTGATTCGCCAAAGCTTGAACATCCAAAGCAAGCGGTCTCTCACCGACTGGAATATATGCAAGGCTACCCATACTAGCTGACTTCCTACTTAAAGCATCGGCCACTACATTGGCCTTCCCAGGATGATACAACATGGTGATATCATAGTCTTTCAATGCCTCGAGTTTAGCTCCTTCTGCTTGAACAAATACTGCAGACTCTTGTGATCCGTGAACACCTCACATGACACGCCATATAAATAATGCCTCCAAATCTTCAGCGCATGAACAATGGCTGCTAGCTCCAAATCATGAACTGGATAATTCTTCTCGTGAATCTTCAACTGCCGTGAAGCATATGAAATAACCTTACCATTCTGCATCAACAAGGCACAAGGTCTAATACGAGATGCGTCACAATATACTGTATATGGCCCCGAATCTGTGGGCAAAACCAACACCAGCGCCGTAGTCAAAGCTGTCTTGAGCTTCTGAAAGCTCGCCTCAAACTCATCCGACCACCCGAACGAGGCACCCTTCTGGGTCAACCTGGTCATCAAGGCTGTTATAGATGAAAACCCCTTCACAATTCGACGGTAATAACCCGCCAAACCCAAGAAACTCCGGATCTCTGTAGCTGATGTGGGTCTAGGCCAGTCCTTGACTACCTCAATCTTCCTAGGATCCACCTGAATACCCTCTGCTGATACGATGTGACCCAAGAAAGCATTTGAACTCAACCAAAACTCACAGTTCGAAAACTTAGCATACAATCGGCTATCACTCAGAGTCTGAAGAACGACTCGAAGGTGCTGCTCATGCTCCTTTCGGCTGCGGGAGTATATCAAAATATCATCAATGAAAACAATCACGAAGGAATCCAGATAGGGTTTGAAAACTCGGTTCATCAAATCCATGAATGTTGTTGGGGCATTTGTCAACCCGAATGACATCACTAGGAACTCATAATGCCCGTATCGAGGCGAAAAGCTGTCTTAGGGACATCGGACGCCTTAATCCTCAACTGATGATAGCCAGATCTCAAATCAATCTTTGAAAATACCTTGGCACCCTGAAGTTGATCAAACAAATCATCAATCCTCGGCAATGGATACTTGTTCTTGATGGTGACTTTGTTCAACTGTCAATAATCTATACACATCCTCATCGATCCATCCTTCTTCTTAACAAACAACACCGGCGCACCCCAGGGCGAGACACTAGGTCTAATAGAGCCCTTATCAAGCAAGTTTTGCAACTGTTCTTTCAATTCTTTCAACTCTGGCGGGGCCATACGATATGGCGGAATAGAAATGGGTTGAGTGCCCAGAGCCAGATCAATGCAAAAGTCGATATTTTTCAATGACTTTGCGAACGCTGGCTATTTTTGAATGACCAGTCCGAAAACTGGCCAGCCCGTGCTATTTTAACCTCAAAATATAACTGGACTTAAATTAAGCCATTTGATTTTACCTTTAACAAATACATATTTATTGATAGAAAATATTGACTTGGGTCAATGTGTTTTGAATTTATAATTTAGTCCTAAATTTTGTATGGGCGTGTTTTGATGTGTACAGTGACCTCTTGAGTCTCAGTTGGTGATTTACTTTTTGAAAATGCTTTATCAATGATCAGAATAGCGGCTTTGCTTAAGAATTTTTCATCCTCCAAATGGCACCTTACAAACAAATAATCAGAAGAGTTGAAACAAAAAATTGTCACACCTTGGACACGCATGGTCAAAACTTGAAGTTCGAACCAAAACCCGATTACCCATTCACCCACGAGCACAAATATGCAATTGGTTTTGAAATCCGGCCTCAATTTGAGGTCTAAATCCCCAAATTTTGAAATTCCTAAATTCTACCCGAGAACACCTAATTCCCATGAAAAACCCTAGATTTTGTGATGAAATCATGTAAAAAGATGAAATAGATTGAAGGAAATGAGTTAGAAATCGTTTACCTATGATTTGGGAAAGAACTCTTCTTTGGAAAATCGCCTATGGGAGCTTAGGGTTTAAAAATTTGAGAGAATGAGTTGAAATCCCGTCTAAATTATGTTTTGATCAGTTGCAGATGTCGCATTTGCGACCAGAGCTTCGCAATTGCGAAGCTCGCAAATGCGAGACATGCATCGCAAATACGAACCTGCTGCATGTCTACTACTGTCGCAATTGCGAACCTCTGGTCGCAATTGCGATGGTTGCCCCCCTGATGACTTCGCATACGCGAAGATATGTTCGCAAATGTGAACTATGCTGGCCCAGGTCATCTTCGCAATTGCGATAAAACCCTCGCAATTTCCAAGACTGTGAAGCTCGCAAATGCAAAGCCTGATCTCGCAATTGCGAGATCAGAGGCCTGCAACAGATACCAGATGCAATAGCAGATTTTCTAAGTCCAAACTCACTCCGTGGCCTATCCAAAACTCACCCAAGCCCTCGGGGCTCTAACCCAAACTTTCATACAAGTCTAAAAACATCATACAAACTTGCTCGTGCGATCCAATCGCCAAAATAACATATTAAACAACGAATTTAACACTAAAACTCATGATTTTCTTAAGAACACTTGAAGTTTCTATTCTTACAATCGGACGCCCGAATCACGTCAAATCACTTTCGATTCTCACCAAATTTCACAGATATGACTTAAATACCATATTAAACCTGTACTGGGCTACGAAACCAAAATACGGTCCCGATACCAACAAGATCACACACTATTCCATTTCAAAAAATCCTTATATTTTCCAGCAAATAATTTTCTTCAAAAATTCATTCCTCGGGCTAGGGACCTCAGAATTCGATTCTGTGCATACGCCCAGGTCCATATTTTACTACGGACCCTACGGGGCTGTCAAATCACGGGTCCTGGTCCGTTTACCAAAAATATTGACCGAAGTCAACTTTAATCAATTTAAAAGGCAAAATTCAATATTTTTCTTAGATTTCACACAGAGGCTTTCTGAAAATGCGCCCGGACTGCACACGCAAATCGAGGAGAAAGAAAAATGAGGTTTTCAAGACCTCGGAACCCGGATTCGGATTCTAAAACAAAAGATGACCCCTTGGGTCATCACAAAAACAAAAACAAAATGCTTTACGCCCAAGTGTGAGATATATATATATATATATATATATATATATATATATATATATATATATATATATATTCCACTTTACAACGATCATCCACTACCTAAATTTGTTAATTCTAAAATCTTAATGAAGCATTTTTGTAAACCCCCCCCCCCCC